ATGTGGTATTCTGATGTAGGGTAATACTTGAATCTGTATTCAGATGACCAACCGAATAGCTAAAAGATATTAAACACACTCTCTGTCAACTAGTTCTACAAATAACATAAAATTATGACACCTACATAATGTACATAAATTATCTTGCATATGGGAAGAATTCCATAAATCTGATTTCCTTCTGACCAGCATGCTAACGGAAGAAAAAGCAAACATGAAGCCAATTCACAACACCAACAGAAGTGATGATCTGACTTATACCGTACATCAAGCCTACCGAATATACAAGATTGCTTAAGAGACATTTCTAACCACAAGACATTTGAGCTCTGTTTCGGACTAAGAAAACCAAGGACGTTCTCAGAGGAACATCCCTGGAGAGAGCACAGCATTGATCTGCTAAAGAGCATGCTGTCTTGAAGTGACTTCTCTGTTTCATTCTCCCTTATCTTACAATCTTACTCCCTAGGCTGACCTCCCTGAACTGACTGCTTCCCCCAAAGTACCTGCACGGAAGCCTTCCTCTGAGGACTTAAGCTGAGATCTCCCCTTTGCTCCCACTACTCCCAGATGCTTCCTTTTTTTTTTTTTCCATTTTTTTTTCGAGGCAGGGTTTCTCTGTATTGTTTTGGAGCCTGTCCTGGAACTCGCTCGGTAGATCAGGCTGGTCTCGAGCTCACAGGGATTCACCTGCCTCTGCCTCCCGAGTGCTGGGATTAAAGGCGTGTGCCACCAACGCCCGGCTGATGAACCCAGAATATTTCTTGGTGGACACTCTGAATGTACTGTAATGCGGTGCATGATCTGTAATTGGTACATCATGAACCTGACCCTCTCACCCACCAGTAACCCAAACAACATGATGAGCATCTCTTTACTGCAGATGACCAGGTTCATGAAATTTAACGTGAAATATTCCTCCCTGAAACTGAGTAACTTAAGCAGAACTTTTCCTTAAAAGAATGTTCTTGAGTTACAGATTTTTCAATTTGTTAGGAAACACACAGTGATTAAACATTGATCTCTGATCATTCAGCCAGAAGTTGAACTGTATTTTTGATCATCCACATTAATTCGCACACTGCTGAGAGACTCCTTTCTAAAGCATGTGAAGTAGAACATGCATTGTCTCCAGATTATTAATGTACAAGAGAGCTCTGTTTGCCAGGCTGTGGGCTTAACCCTGAACAAATATTATTTTCAATATCCCTTAATCCTTCAAATTGAATGATTTTTCTTCCTTTTCAGCAGCAAAAATAAATAAATAAATTTTGCTCTCATTCCTGTGATAATGGATGACTGTTTCCTTAGACAAGGATTTTGGAAAATGCCGATTAACGGTGGTGCCAGGATACTTAACACCGTTCATGAAAAAACCTTCTTAAGGAGTACACGCAGTATGTTGGCTTTGTATAAAGTTGGAAGCTTAAAGCAGGGGGAAGGGTGCGAAAGGTCTGCCTTTAGTGTTGTTTGCTCACATCCTGAGCCGAATCACAGGCTGATAAAACCGAGCAATTGCTCATGGGAGGTTTTGTTCAGGTTCCTGCATAGGAAAGCTGTGTACTAGCCACAGAAGTAACAGGGTGTCAAAGCAATTTCGAGGAGCATGCCACAGGAATCTCTGAAAAGAGCGAGCTCTATGGCTTGCTGGCCCCGCATAGAAAGGACCCTGGAGTTAATTCCCATTGAGCACTCTTACACAGCTCTCTTGGTCTGTAGATCCCTGCGGCCAGCAATTATTTGCACTCCTGGCTGTAAGATTTCCTACTTTCTTAAAAGAGGTCTCGGGAGAAAGGAATGCAAGTTACTCCCCCTCCTTTTCATTTCCATGGCTTAGTGGTGCTGTGTTTCTGTTATTTTCAAGTGGGGAGATAAAGGATAAAATGATAATAAGGTCAATAAGGATGACCACGGTGACAAACATCCAAAATTACTTTACTGTTGCTGGATCTTTAATAAAAGAAGCCTCTGTATCTTGAGACTGGGGAAGCTTTTTGCTGTGTCCAAGCAACGGCTAGGGTTGAAGTGTGTGTAATCCCCTCTTGACTATATGAGAAGTGGACAATAAAACAAATGGAGGCAGGTTAGAACTCCAAAACCAGTAACAGCCCGCCCTGACTGTTATTGATGACACAATATCAACTAGAACCCTTGGCTGGTAGCTATGCTGGGGTGGGGGGGGTCAGGGCTTGCAGTCTATTTAATTAGTCATTATTTAGTCTATCATTAAATCAGTCCTTACTAAGCAAAGTAGTCAAAGGACAGTCTGTAAGATGGTTCTCAGAATGTTTAATGGAAAGTGGCCCCTGTAAACCAACATGCTACACAGGCTTTTTCAAATTATGGTGAAACAGGCAGAACTGTACTGTAACATTAAAATCTTTATGCTACCGGGGAATAACAAGTACTGAAGAAGAGGCCAAGGCACCAAGATCAGCAGCTCACGGCCAGCCTGAACTACATACACACAGTGACTCCAAATCGAACCTGGCAAAATTAAGACTTTCTACGCAGAGCCCCTAGTGGCCACCATGGGCCGGGACTGAGGCAAGCTGTCTCCACTCTGCTGCCCGCCCTCCATCACTCTCTCCAGTTTCATTTCATCCCTGTAACAGAATGCTTACAGGGGCCTCTCCTGCCTCCATGAGGACTCCAACAAACCTTGCAGCAGACCCAGCTTTCCTCCTTCCTTCCTCCCATCCTTTTGTGTCAGCCATGGATAACGACAAACACCAGAACTGGATTCAAGGAGTCAACTTCTGCTCTGCTTCCTGCCCTCCCAATAAGCAGAAGCATAATAGGCATAGGAAGTCTGTTGTGGTTTTTTTTCCAAATACTTATAAAAGAAAACTAAATCAGAGTTAGGTGCTAGGTCAGTGAAAGCAAGGAGGGCTTTTGAACAAGCTATCCAACGAGAGATGTCTACTCTGAGGAGAGAGCATAACAGAAACGTAAATAACATAAGCAAGCTTGGCCAAACTATGAAGGAGTGCTGAATTCCATAGCTACCCGCATCAATGGGAAAGACTGGGGAAACAGGCCACCATCTACCTGTTGGTTTGTAAGTCTGAGCCATTGTGAAGCAAAGCCGATCTTCACAGAACAAAGCATCCCTCTACACTTAGAAAAAAAGCCAACAGGTTGTTATTTGCACTGGGCTAAAATGTGTAAATGTCCGCACCTCTGACCGAACAATGGCTCACCCTCAGTTCTTGTCCTCTCAAAAGAGCTTAGAAACATAGATAACTTAAGGAAAAGCTTTACCAGGGTGTGCGGGTTAGTTTGTCAATTTGACACAGGCGAGGGACATCTGGGAAGAGAGACCCTCAGAGAAAATTCTCACATTAGGTTGGCTTGTAGGCGCATCTCCAGGGCATTTTCTTGAGGGATTATTGAGGTCAGAGGACTCAACCCGTTGCGGGAGTGTCTCCCCTGAGCAGGTGGTCCTAGCTTACATAAGAAAGCAGGCTGAGCCAGCCATGGGGAGTTGTAAGATAAAAGAAACCCTTTTCTTCCCCCAGTTGCTTTTGGTCATGTTCTTTATCACAACAATAAAAGGAAACTGGGAGATTTAGTAAATTCGAAGCAAAGCACAACACATCCCAAGGAGAGACTGGAGTGGAGAGTAGATGAACCCATTGGCTTACGAGTCGTAAGTATTTTAAATAGTTCATTAATCTTTGCGTTTTTCATCAATAAATTGTTATCACCTCACCTCCCTCCTCTCCTTGAATCCTTCAGGGTCCACTCCCACATCCCTACCACCCTAACTTTGTGTTCTTTTTTTTAACCCTTTAATTCCAATTTTTACTACCAAGTGTGGGACAGGGACAGTATCATTAAAGTGACTCTTCCTTTCCCATAAATCAACACAGATGTTGTGAGCAAATGGGTGCAGCAATCCCGTCATGTCCGGAAGACATTGTCTTTGCCCGAGTCCTTCCAGACCTCTGGCTCTTAAAAATCTTTCCACCCTGTCTTCCATGATGGACCACTGAGTCTTGGAGAATGGGTTGATACAATTGTCTGTCTGTGTCTGAACTCACCTGTTTTTATTAGGGTTGCCATTGCTGTGGTAAAACACCATGACCAAAAAGCAAGTGGGGGTGGTTTGTTGGCTTACACTTCCATATTGCTGTTCAGCATCAAAGGAAGTCAGGATCACAACTCAAACAGGGAAGGAACCTAGAGGCTGGAGCTGATGCAGAGGCCAGGGAGAAGTGCTGCTTACTGGCTTATTCCACCTGCTCTGTTAGAGATCCCAGGATCACTGCCCAGGAAGTAAAAACCAGGTACCAATCTCGATGGGCTGGGCCTCCCCTCTCCCCCCCCCCAAAAAATCACTAACTAAGAAAACACCTTATATCTGAATCTTTGGGAGGCATTTTCTCAATTGAGTTCCTGCCTTTCAGGCAACTCTAGCTTGTGTCAAGTTGATATAAGACTAACCAACATAACTGACCCCTTGTCAACCCACACACAAAAACACCACTGTTAAGCCACAACCCTTCCTTTCTTATTCTTCCCCAAGATCTCACACTAAAAAAAAATAGATAAATTTGTAAGTTTCACAGTCTTTGCAAATTCAAACACATTAAAATTTCAGTTCCTTTAAAATAGCCAATCTCGGGGCTAGAGAAAAGGTTCAGAGGTTAAGAGCACTGGCTGCTCTTCCTGAGGACCTGGGTTCAATTCCCAGCACCCACATGGCGGTGCTTAACTGCCTGTAACTCCATTTTCAGAGTATCTGACACCTTCACACAGACATGCATGCAGGCATGCTCATGAAATAATAAAATAAATTAGTTAAATAATAGCCAATCTCTTTTAAAATCAGAAGTCTTTTTAAAATTCACAGCCTCTCAACTGTAGGCGCCAGTAAAAAAAATAATGTTTTTACTTCAAGAGGTAAGAACCAGGACACAGTTACAACAAACCAAAGCAAACCCAAACTCCAAATTTGTAAATAAATTGGTAACTTATTATCTGGATTTACTCACGATCTTTTGGGCTCTTCCAAGGGGTTTGAGTCACTTCTCCGGCTCCACTCTCTGCAGGATACGCGCTTGTCTTCTAGACACTGGCTGGCTCCACTCCACCTCTGCTGCTGCTCTTGGTGGTCATCCCATGGTCCTGGTATCTCCAAAATGCTGAGGTCTTCTGCTGCAAGTGGACTGCCCTTTCCTCAAAAGCTTCTCCTAGTCCCTCTTCACAGGGCCACACCTCAACGTGTCTGCATGACCCCATCCAACCCAACCCTTCTACTGTCTCTGAGGGTGTTCCTGGCCTCTTTCAATGCCAAACCTCAGCTTTCCGTGATCGCTCCATGCCTTCAAAACCGGTATACCACCTGGATGACTCGGCTGCCAGCTGGAGGTACAACCTTGGCTGCCTCTGCAACACAGCTTCTCTGTGCCCTCAGGAAACACTTCCCCGGAGATCAGAGGATTTCACCTCAACAATGCTGGTCTCTTTTTTTTTTTTTTTTCTTTTGGTTTTTTTGAGACAGGGTTTCTCTGTGGCTTTGGAGGCTGTCCTGGAACTAGCTCTTGTAGACCAGCCTGGTCTCCAACTCAGAGATCTGCCTGCCTCTGCCTCCCGAGTGCTGGGATTAAAGGCGTGCTCCACCACTGCCCAGCTGCTGGTCTATTCTTAATCATCGCTAATTTGTCACCGTTAGTAGGCCAGTATCCCAGTAAAGCAAAGCATTCACTTTAGTAGTTCTCTTATCTTGTTAAACACAGTTGATCCTTCATCTCTAGATAACCAGAACAGATTTTCACTGAAAAAGAGCCTGGTAGAGTTTTTGCTTCCCTCTGAAACTTCACAAACCAGGCAGGCCTCCATCTTCTACATTGGTCTTGACGTCCTTATATTGCAAACTGGCTTTTCTACCCCAAAGTTGCAAAGTCCTTCCACAATCCTCCCCAAAACAACATGGATAGGTCTGTTACAGCAACACCCCACTGTTCTGGCACCAGCTTGTCTTAGTTAGGGCTTCCATTCCTACAACAAAACATCACGACCAAAAAGCAAGCTGAGGAGGAAAGATTTATTTGGCTTACACTTCTAGATCATAGACGGGACGGGAGCTCAAACAGGGCAAGAACCTGGAGGCTGGAGTCAATGCAGAGACCACCACGGAGGGGTATTGCTTCCCCCAGGGCTTCCTCAGCCTGCTTTCTTAAGAGGACCAGGACCAAGAGCTCAGGGATGGCCCCGCCCACAATGGGCTGAGCCCTCCCCCATCAATCACTAATTAAGGAAACACCTTACATCTGAGGTCTTATGGAAGCATTTTCTCAGCTGAGGTTCCCACATTTCAGATAACTCTAACTTGTGTCAAATTGGCACAAGACTAGCCAGCATATATCAGATGACACATGGCCTCTGCACTTGGGCCAATTTTAAGTTTGTGTGGTAACCACCATCTACAGTACAAAGAAACTTCTCCGGTGAGATCTGGGAACGGCACTAATCTGTGGATAGAGGTGGTACAGTTTTAGAGGGCAGTTTGACACTATGTGAATTTAGCAGAAGAGTAGTAGTAGTCATACCTGAAGCCTGTGAGCTTCCCAACCATGGGTTCTTCGCTAACTTTACAGTGTTAGGCATGTTTCCTCCTACGGAGAAGGCAGGCTGCCTTGAGGAAGAATCTACCTGTCGTGGGGCTCCCTTCTACAGCAGCTGAGAGCTCTGAAGATGCAGCGGAGAGCTTCACACCTAGAGTATCGTCCCGAGAGTGGGGGTGTTAGCTGCTGAGAGGATTTCCCAAGGACAGAAACTGGCCCACCTGTACAGATCTTAGTGATACATTTGCTTCCCCTCGACTCCCAGTGCACTCAGGAGACTCCTCCTTTCTAGAACGTTAACGACACAAGGACTGTAGGAACTCACCTGTTGTACGGAATGACGTGTTGGAGTGTGGCGAATGGAAACACCTGGTAAACAATGAGGAGCATCTACTAGAGTGATAACAGCTCTGTCAGACGTCTGACACTTGTCCAGGCTCAGCGCCAGCCTAAATGGCAAGAAAGACAAATGACCCCACACCCCCTTCAGAATGCATTCTAGACAACAAGTCTCCAGAATATTTGTGTTGTATTCTCCATTGTGTTTTATATTCTTTCCTCTTTGCTATAGTTTTAGTTAGCATTTCAATTTACTCTTATTTTTTTAAGCTTCATAGTTTTGTCTTTTCATTCCTCTCATGTTTATCTGATTTTGCTTACACATTTTTTCCTTTATAGAACAATCAGAATTTTTTTAATCTTTCTGTTTTTCCTTTCCCTCTTTATCAGACTATTCTCTATTCTTTAGTTTTCCTTTACTTTATTTGTTTTTTCACCTTCATCTGTTCCTTCCTTTGTGTCACCAAGTTTTCTACATTGAGCCAAAGTAATGCCTAATGTCATAGCATACTCTACATTTTATTAGACATTTTCTTTCCTAATGTCATGGGGCACATGTTACTTGATTTTAACTAATCTTAAGTGTGTTTGTATGTCATTTAGCATGATGTTCTTTCTGAGCTGTATTAGAGATTTACCCCAGAGATGTATACTACACACTAAGAAGATCCCCCAAATAAAACTGGAAGAGAAATATATCCCAATGTGTGCACAATTTACAACACAGAAACACTACAAATATGAAAAACAAGACAGACTGAAGTCAGGCTGGAGAAGATGGCTCAGCTGTTAAAGGCTAGGTTCACAACCAAAAATGTAAGACAGACTGAAGTCTTCAAGAGATTACAATGACAAATTACTAAGTTCAAAGACAATAAAATGATATAAATGCTAAAGGACTTTTATACATTTAAAAGTAATCAGTAAATTTGAAGTCAAAATAAATAAGCCAACAAAAGAGATCGATCACTTCTGCATGTAGATAAGACTAGCAATGTGGGAGCTGAAGAGATGAGTCAGTGATTAAGAGAACTTGTTGCTCTTGCAGAAGACCTAGGTTCCATTCCCAGCATGGACACGGTGGCTCACAACCATCTGTAACACCAGCTGTGGAAAATCCAGTGCCGTCTTCTAGACCCTATGGGCACCAGGCATAGGCATGTATGCTGTGTACATACATGCATGCAGGTACTAACACATAGTCATAAGATAAAAAATAAACAATTTTAAAAGAATACTAGCAATATGTGTGAAAAATTTGTCAAGGAAACTGACAATGAAATAAAGGAGGGAATGTTGGAAATTTAACAGTCAATCAAATGAAGAACAGAATAGGATGCATTGCAAAAACACTAGGATCAAGTAGAATAAAAAGGTTAGGGATGGAAGATGAGGTTGAGAAAAAGTTGTATTAAGATACAGTACAAAGCCAGGCGTTGGTGGCGCACGCCTTTAATCCCAGCACTCGGGAGGCAGAGGCAGGTGGGTCTCTGTGAGTTCGAGGCCAGCCTGGTCTACAAAGTGAGTTCCAGGACAGTCTCCAAAGCTACAGAGAAACCCTGTCTCGAAAAGCAAAAAAAAAAAAAAAAAAAAAGATAGACAACCACCTGTAACTAGTTCTGAGAATCTAAGACCTCCTTCTTATTGGCTAGCTCTGTCTTAGTCATTAACCCATTTCTGTTAATCTAAGTATTTCCACATGGTCTTCTCTTACCGGAGAAAGAGTCCAGACCTGTTACTCCTCTTGCATGCTACATGGTGACTGACTCTGCCTACATTTCCCAGAATCCCCCTCATCTTCTAGTCCCACCTATCTTGCTGCCCTATTGGCCAACAGTGTTTTATTCATTAACCAATAAGGTAAACATATACAGAAGACCATTCCCCATCACATAAATGCTGGAAAATAATGTCTTGGCCCCATGCTTGTCCAACAAGTGTTCTTACCCACTGAGTCATCTCCCCAGCCTCTGTCCTGCCTCTTGGTTTTATAACCTCCACAGAGTGACTGGAATCATCATCAATCTCTGTGGCAAAGATCTTCATTAGGCTTCCAAACTAAATATTTTGTTCACTAAATGAGAATAGATTAAAGATTTCTTTCCAATATTGTATTGTGTATGAAAAAGCAAGTTAGGTAGCTTATCAGCTAAGTAATAGAACTTTTGTTTTCTCCAACTTTGGGGAGAGGGAAAAAAAACTGGTTAGTAAAAACTTACAAGCAAATCCTTCGGTTATAGGATATATCTAAGTTTTCCTCTCCTCTGAAATCCTCTGATCTTAATGATCCATGAATAGAAAACACACCTAAAGAATTTCCCCCTCTCCCTGCATAACTTCTTAGAGTAAATCGTGAAACACAATAAAAAGATGTGTTCTAGTAAGGCTGTGACTAGATTTTATACAGTGTCACGGTATAAATTAATATACATATTAAAAGTTATTTTGAGCCGGGCAGTGGTAGTGCATGCCTTTAATCCCAGCACTCGGGAAGCAGAGGCAGGCGGATCTCTGTGAGTTCGAGGCTGGGCTGGACCGATAGCCTCCAAAACAATACAGAGAAACCCTGTCTCGAAAAAAAAAAGTTATTTTGAACATTAACCAAAATAAAATAAAACAGCAACAACACTATTTGTCTGCTGCCTGATCAAGTAAAATGCTAAAATGTTGTCAACTGGCAGAATTTCTGTCCCTTGAAGATAAAATATACATCTGTATCCTAAGTAGCCCTGGATGTCAATGTCTGTTTTCCCATATATTAATAAACCAAAATGAAGGTGGGTACCCTACTTTTATTATTTATATTGTTGCTGAGTGGTTTTCATTTAAATTCATAATAATGCCTGCTTCCAAAGCTCTCTTGAAAAGCCCATTCTTCCAGTTTCAGAGAGGGAGGGATGATGAACAAAGGGGTCAAGACCAAGCTGGGAAAACACACAGAAATAACTGACCTGAGCAAGTGAGAACTCATGGACCCCAGTCTGACAGCTGGGGAACCAACACAGAACCAAAGCCAGGTCCCCTGAATGTGGGTGTCATCTAGGAGCCCTGGACAGTCTATGGGGCCTCTGGTAGTGGAACCAGGATGTATCTCTAATGCACAAAAGGACTTGGGGAGCCCATTCCCCATGGAGGGAAACTCTCTCAGCCTAGATACACAGGGGAGGGCCTAGACCTTGCCCCAAATGACTTAACAGATTTTGAGGATCTCTCATGGAAGGCCTCACCCTCCCTGGAGAGTGGATGGGGGATGGGGTGGGGGAATCAGTGGGGGGCATAGGAGGATGGGAGGGAGAAGGAACTGGGATTGATGTGTAAAATAAGATTGTTTCTAATTTAAATAAAATCTATTTAAAAAAGAAAAGAAAAGCCCATTCTTTGTAAGCAAGACATACAAATTAATCTATCACTACTTCGTTGGAGCAATGTCCTTTAGTTTTCTTGCTGGCTTCTGTTCTGATTTCATCCTTTAAGACTATTCACTATTAAATTTCTCTTTGCTTCAGCTTTGACTTATTTTTAAATATGTCATCTTTGCATCTATTTTTCCATTTTCTGTATCTTTTCCACGAGCTCAGCAAA